GTTTGGGAGACAATCATGTTCACTCCAGTTTTATTTATAGAAGACTACGGAACCACGAAAGACGGGAGATCCAGAGGGAAATTCTCTCTATCTTGGGTCTGCCTCACAGACCCAGACCTTTTTCACCTGGAAAGCAAGCTTCCTCCGCACCTCTCTTTATGCTGGACCTGTACAACGCCATGGCCAGTGAGGACACTTCCGAGGAGCCGGAGTCCTCGGGGAGGGCATCCTTGGCAGGAGAGACCAGAGGAGCCAGGAAGGGACCCCCAGCCTCTCCCAATGGGTACCCTCGCCGCATACAGTTGTCTCGAACGACTCCCCTGACCACCCAGAGTCCTCCTCTAGCCAGCCTCCATGATACCAACTTTCTGAATGATGCTGACATGGTCATGAGCTTTGTCAATTTAGGTATGTTGTTCGTTTCTTTGTTAATCTGTGTTATTACAAAGTGGAAGTTTTCCTAATGGTGAAGTAGCTGCCTGGTAGGTGGTCATGTTTATTTAGAGTCATTTTCTATAACTCTTCTCTCTGGCTTCTGTTTCCTTCCTTTCGTTGAGGCAATGTAAGATTTTGCCTTAGGCAGCAAAGTCATGTGTACATATATATATATATTGTTTTTTCAATATAAAAAGCTAAAATTAAACACATGGTTTGGGTAGATTTAGGTCTTTTCACATCTTGTTAAAATTTCATCCTTGCTTAAATGTATGAATAAACAGGCAACAGTCTTAAAAAAAAGAGAATTTATGAGGATTGCTATGCTATGGGCAAAATTAATAATAATACTACTGCTAATAATGCACGTACTTATAGATGGAAAAGTAAAAGTGACATTCTGAACCTTTTTTTTTGGTTAGTAATTTAAAAAACATACACGTGTAATTTATATGCCACTTAAGAACTTTCATTAAGGGGAGGCAACTCCTGTGAAAATATTGATGTGAAATTAATTTAAGATCAAATAATATTGTAAAAGATTACTATCAAAGACTTTCAGGGATAGAGTCTGAAATTCTGTCGACAAAGATTTTGGAAAAGAAGTTGCCATCGAACATATTTTAACTATAAGGATTAAAATCTAACCTACTTATTTGATTTTTTTTTAAAAGCAAGAGAAATGTAAAACATGTTATGATGGTCTTTACCTATACAAAACTTTCCTTTCCATTTAAGATATAAAATTTCAAATGAAAAATTCTTTAAGAGCAGTGTTAGAGAATAATTTTTAAAATTATGTTTTGCTCAGTGCTGGTACTGACAATACCAAAAACATTGTTATTGACAGTTTCAAATAATGAATTAGAGCACAGTATTTCATCTTCCAATGATATTAAAGAGTCACTACCTTTAAAATGATTTTACAAGGGCTGTAATTTTCTTTAAATGTTTTGGTAAAGACCCAAGGTGAAAATTTACTATCTTCAAACATCCAAAAGGAAAAAAAAGTACATGTTTATTTTTGAAGACAAAACTTAATCAGCAAATGTAATCAACTTTTGGCGTAAGAGCTTTTAAAACTTCGTTTCAAAAATGCAGTCTGCTTGGGCTTAAAACAGGACATGTTTTATTACACACTTAATTAAAAACTTCCTCATCTACTATCTCAAAAAATACTCTTTGAAAATCTAGATAGCAACAAATCTTAATAACACGTGATGCTTTTATAATAAATGTGGCTTAATATGCCCTGCTCATTTGCTCTTCGGAATCGTAGCAGGAAGGAGAAGGTCCCTAATAAATCATGTGTTTCACGTTGCTGGAGACAAAGCTCTCATTATGGGTTTTAGTAAGTCTTCATTGGTTGCCCTAATCAGGTGTCCTTGGGCCCCTTTCCTTCTACATATAATTAACAGGTTCAGTTTGGACCGTTCAGGCCATTAAAATATGTCTTAATTCTAAATTAGTTTGATTACTTTTTCCTAGTATGAGCCGCATGCAAACATGGTATGTTTTCCTTTGGAGCAGTTTTTCAAGATGATTCAGTAATTTAAATTCGTCCTAATCTTTTCATAGAAAAATTGCAACCTAGCATGATTTACAGATTCACACAATAAATCACTGAGAAAAAAATCAGTTCAGGTCATCTGAAATCTGACAGGAAAGAATGCGTTATGTTCTGCACTTTATAAAACAATAGCTCAGTCATGAGTCTGTTCTAATGATGTATTTTATTATATTTGAATGCTTTGATCATTCACAAGAGAAGTGTGTTTTTTTCAGACAGGAATTAAGTATGATTTTTGAACCTGTGTGCCATTATGTTTTACAAACTTACCTAGAATAAGAAAGCCAAATACAATAATAAACAGTTTTATTCAGTGATTTCTAGGACCATTTTTATCATGAAAGAATGCTTTTATTTTTAAAACACTAAAATTTTGGCTACATTGTTTGGATTATAATAACAAAGTGGTTTATTAAGTATACCGTGAAATAACAATGATTGATTTGACTCCAGAGAAGCAATACTGGACATAAGCTTCAGAAAAATTCTTATTTATTCCTATCATGCTTGAATTGCTGAGTAAATCATCTTCAGTAATAAACTGCATTGCCTTTTCTTTATTTAATAATGCTGAACAAAATGTCTTACATGAAATTAGTGACAAATTGATTCTGATATGAAGTGATTTTTACCTAGTAGTCTCTGAAGAGAATTGAACCACAATTTTATTTTATCATCTTTACACCATGCCTTCTCATACATCTAAAGCTTACAGTCAATCACTACTTAGTAAAAATTTTAACTTCTGTATTTCTTCATAATAAAGAAGGTCAAAGCATGCTTAGAAAAGGTAAAAGTGTAATAGCATTATTAACTGTGCTAAGAATTTTGGTATTTCTTATTGTAACATTCAGTAACAACTATTATTTGCAATTTTTCTCATGTTTTATAAGACTCCAGTGGGTTTTGTTTTGTATTTTTAGTAAAGATATATATATAGTGGAGACCAAGGGCCAATGATCAAATTAGCAATAGTCATGGGAGTTGTATGGAGGAAGTCACCTGGATATTTAAATCTGTGAAAAGAATTTGTTGACATTTCCCGTAATAAGTTGAATTATATTAAAGAGGGCCTAGTAGCATCTTTGTTATTAATGCCTGCCCTTGTCATTTTGGAACTCAAATAATGGATTTTCTACAGTTATCCTGTCATTCTGGAAGACATTTTTTTCCATCATAAGTTTTACTCACCAAGAACAATTAAATTTTATTCGAACTTTGACTCATATTTAACAAAACATCTCTTTTTAAAAACTTCAGATGAGACTAGTTTTATGTTCATAAGTGAAAAATAGATTAGAATTTACTGAAAGAAAAAAAGTAAAATGTGAAGAAATTGCTTCAAGGCAATGTAAACAACTAAATATGAAGCCAAAAACATTATTTTCCCTTTTAAATAATTTTAGTGATTTGTTCACGTTGAACAAACAAATATTAACTATTAATTGTGTGAAGAGAAACTTCCCACTCTGTTTTATTCATTATTCTTAGGCCAGCTTTTATCAGTCTCATGGCCTCCAGCTTTTACAGGCTAACTTCTCTGCTTTGTCTCTGAAACTACTGAATGTCAGTGGAATTTTGCGTAGTCAGTAGCACATTATTTTGTTAGTAACAAAAATATTTTTCCGACAATTCTTTTAACTATCTCTTTTTCAAAAATGTTAAGGGTTAGTTCACGTATCAGTTAGGTACTTTGCTTGCAATATTTAGTGTATCTAGTGTATCTCTAGTTTACATTAAGATAAACATGTAGTGCATTTCTAAGATCTTTTAGTTAGAAGCCAATCTTATTTTTTGATTACTTGGTGATAGTATAATTAAAATGACGTAACGCTGTAGATGTTTCAGAGGAAATTACAAAAATCAGTAAACACAGGAAATTCATTTTTATATTGTCCTTTGTCTACATGTATTTCTCTGATAAAGAAGAACTTTGGGTTTATTATTGGGTTTTGATCAGTTGGCTTGGTGTCAAATACTGAGATATAGTTCAATAGTATATACTAATTCTCATGCATAAAAGTATAAAGATGTGGTTAAATTTTTTTCATATTTTATAACAACATATTTAGCATGTTAAGATATGAAATAGGAAAAAAAAAGGGCTTTCAAACTTTTCAGTTAAACCCTTCTCCCCTCACTTCCCCAAATCATTAAATTCTCCTGGTACTGGAAGAAAAAAATGCTTCTGCCCTCAGTTGACAGATTTGAAAGACATCATTGATATTTACTGTTGGTTTTGGCTGGCTCAAGTGCCCAGTGGAGAGGAATTTCTACACAGATCTGCCGAAAGATGCCTATCTATGTAGTCCCTCCAACAGGGTTATTAACACTTGGGTAACATAAACACACCTATAAACACACAGAAAGATTTTTTTCCTTTTTTCAAGGAAGGAGGGTGATGAGATGGGATGGAAAGAAAGATGATCTAAAGATTACAGTTACATATTCAGGGATTATGCCTGGAATAACAAATGCTAATATTGAGTAAGACAGCCACTCTTTAATACATCGAACTTTTTAAATTTCCTTTTTTAGTTATAATTTTTAATTATTATTTTGGGGGAGGTAATGAGGTTTATTTATCATTTTGATCACTTTTTTGACGGAGGTGCTGGAGGTTGAACCCAGGACCTCACGCATGCTAAGCACGCGCTCTACCACTGAGCTATACTCTCTCCCCTGACATGCCTCACTTTTGAAGAGAAAAGGAGTTGCTGAGGGTGGAGCCCTGTTCTCTCTCCTCCATCCGCCCTTGGCATCCGCGCGTGCCCGGGGGGATGCTTGCTGTCCCCTAAAGCTGTGTGACTCCAGATTGACGGGCTTGGCAGCAGAGAAGGTTATAATCACCGTTCAGTGAGAAGTTTTTTGTTTTTTTTTGTTTTTTGCACATTTTAATGGTCACTCCCAAATTGCTAGTTTTAGAAGTTTAATCAAAGTAACAGCTGGAAATAAGAAAGTGTGACAAAGTACGAGGGCTGGGGGCTGCTCACTCTGCACTTCCGGTTCCTTCCCTTTCATTCTTCCTTTTTGTCAATATCACCTCCCTCTCTCCTTCCCCCCACTCTCCTCCCACTCTGTGGCCTTTCCGCTGCCGTTCTAGGGCCTCCCCGGCTCCAGGCTTTCTTGGCACCCCTCTCCTCACTGCCCCCACCCTTCCTGGGGTCTGCCTTTGGTCCCACTTTCTTCATAGCCTGAGGCTTCGATTAGCTGAAAATCAATTCGTTACAGCCTAATCATTTAGGTAGAGTCTCCTGTTTCCTCTCTGGTTGAGAAGGAAAGGCTTATAAAGTGCCAACTGCAGCCTCCACCCATCAGGAGAAAAGCTCCCCAGGGCATCCCAGCCTCCAGGGCTGTTCGTTTCCCTACCGCCCCATCCTTCCTTGCCTCCTCACCTCTCCCTGACCATCCCATTGATTGAATTTCATGGGTTTTGCCTTTCCTATTTTATAACATAATTAAAATTTAAAAGGGGAAATTGAAGGGAAAGTAAAAAAAAAAAAGAGGGAAAAAGGCACATTGAACAAAAAGAACAATAATCAAACATGCAATTCGTTTTTGGCTTCTAAAACCCTTTTGCGTCTATAATTTTGATTGAGTCCTCCTGTCACGCCTGTGAAGAAATTATTAGCTCTGTTTTTAGTGGAGAGGAGATGGTGAGAGTGTAGGAGAGGTCAAGACTCACAGTTGGAGGCAGAGAGCAAGGAGGGTGAGGTGGAGAAAGATAGGAAGTCTTTTCTGTTTTGTTTTGTTTTGTTTTGTTTCCAAGCCCTTGAAAAGAAGAAAATGAATGAGGTGAGTCATTCGAGGCTGTCTCTGGGCCACGCAGGTGGAGGCTGTGTTGGGGAGCTCTCAGTCTACCTCATACCAGCACGGCAGCTAATTCCACATCCCCAACCACATCAGCTCCAGGGGAAACCCTTTCATCCTTCCACACTGAAATACCAAAGTGGGGAAAAAGGAGGGGGGCGCTCAGTGTGTGTGTACCAGGAGCGCACAGACGGGGCGACTCAAATTTACAGTCATAAATAGCGTAGTAGCTCAGCTTGAAGAAACCACAGGTTAAAGGAAGAGGCTTCCCTGACAGAGAGAGGCTGAGATCAGAGCAGCCACTAGAAGGGCTGGAGCGAAACAACGAACCCCTTGTTCCAGGGAATATTTATGAGTGCTTCTTTGCACCTCAAGTTCATATTTTATTGGCTGGACCGTGGGGTTTCCCCATTTGCTCATCTCTTGAAATAATACCCTTGGCTAAGATAGCCTTTAAAATGCACCAGTCAGCCCTGACAACTGGCTCATTTATTTTGGGGGGGGAGAAAGGGATCTGTTGTGATGTGGATGTTTGATGGGGATGTTTCAGACCCGGTCGTGGATCTTAAAGTTACGACAGTTAAGATAAAAATCGGAGCGGGGAGTAGTCACCTGTCTTTTTAGGGGATGTTAACAAGAATCTACGTAACCACGCAGCAGCTCTAAATTTGTGAGAGCCTTGTCTCAGTGGCTGTAATAAAATTATTATCCAGTAAGTTAGAAACAAAATCTATTAAAGCATACGACGTTGAAAATGAGAAAGAAAAATCACTTGTAGGTTAGTTAGAAGGATTTTTAGTGGTTTTGAGAAAAAAGAAAAACAATAAACCTCTACAACCAGAGTACATATCCTACACTCAGAAAGCAGCAAGTTACACAAATGTCACATAGAATGTAAAAGCTCAGACCTTGTGTAATGTTAAATTGTTTGATCAGTAAAGAAATTCAACTGAGGTACATGCTAGTTTATAGTTTCTAAGACGATGAAGACCCTTGTCAGTGACGTGTTGTTTCATTTTACTTTTCATAAAGCACGGAGGGTCAGTGCTTGCATTGGGGAAAAAAAAATACAACCCTGTATTTTAGACATAAATTTATCTAATTAAATTATCACTTAGCTATTGTGTTTATTTAACTTTCTTCTGGAAGTAAGTATCAACTTTTATCGTCCTGGTGGTTTAATGGCTTTCCTGAAGTTGTTTGGAATAAAGAAAATAGTTTAAGTAGGTCAGATGCAAATCTCATTTAGATTTTATGCAGACCTATAAGACCCGTCAACATCCAAAGATTTATTAACATTTACAAACCCCTTCAGCTATGCTGTTCTGATATGAGAAATTCAATAGTATCTGTTGTGCACAGATGTCCTGTCCCTCTTGTAATTTTGCGATCAGCCTTCCAATGTCAGGAGACCCAGTGTATTTTCAGAATCTTAAGTCCCTGGAAAATTACTGCTCAAACGGCTTTGAGGTTTAATTATAAATTCAACCTAATTGCTTTCGTCGCTGCTTCCATCCCAGAAGCAGAGTAGCATAGAAGAAGCCAGCAAGCCTGGATTGGAATCCCACATTCTACACTTATTCTAGCAGCGTGACTTCGGGCAGGTGACTTACTCACGCTGTGCCTCTGGCTCTTTGCCTAAAAAGGGCTGATGATAATAATAGCACCTCCCTCCTTAGGTGTTGAGAGGATTAAATGAGTGGATGGCATGCAGTTTTAAGGACAGTATTTGGACCCGAGTGAGACCTCTCTCAATGGCCGTGATTGGTGCTGGAGTTGCACTGGTAGCCAACATCTGTATCCCATTTGCAGGGGCAGCAAAATGAAAAGGTGGGGCCACTTGTTTAAAAGTTATCGAGATTTCCAAGATGGCAGCAAAGTATTAGACGAAGTGCATGCGGGGCCCCTTCTGAGTGCAGATCTGGTGACATGCATAGGAGCAGGGACCACGCCCTGTTCGTCCTGTCTTATCCCCAGTGGAAAGAGACAGCATGCACAAACTGAATCATCGGAGGGGGGTTTAACTGACGTTATAGCGTTTCTGATGTTGTGGGCGGGGTTTTCTGGAAAGACAAGGGAGGATGCAGCACCTGGAATGGGAGCTCAGAGGACAGCTAAAGGGGGCTTTGATAGGCTTTGTGGTTAATGTTTTGTAGATATTTCCTTTGCTTAGAATGAGAGGGGATTATATGGTTCTCCAACTGTTTCAGTAGGGTTTAAGTGTCAGGGTTTCAGAGTCAGACTGGACTGAATACCAGACTAGCTTTAACAGCTACGCATCCTTGAACAGACGATTTCACTGCATTGGAACTGTTTCTTCCTCTGTAAAGTGGAGATCGTAACACAGAATTGTAATGAGGACTCAGTGAGGCAAGATCATAGGTCTCTAAGCCTCCATAAGCAAAGGACTCAGTCAGTGGTCCCCGCTGCTACTACACCTTCTTCTGCTAGAGTCGAATCTCTGCTGTCCTAATGTTGGAGGAGATTGCTACCCCGCCCACCAGCCTCTGTCAAAGAAATGCCTAGCTGAACTGTGGAACGCTATGCATTTGACTTTTGCTCTACCCAAAAGAAAAGTAACTTGAATTTCAGTGACTCCGAAGACTTCTGAGTCTTCAAGTTGGACAGCTGATGGGCTGAGATCCCTCCTCAGGGTGTCCTGAGAAAGGTCGGTCCCCATCAGAACCTTTGGGCGCCTATGGGGTTTCCCTCTGAGCACCTGAAGGCAACACTTTCTGCTGCTGAAAGGTGCTTTTCAATTCCTTTTGGTCAGATTCCTAGAACGAACCCACCGTTTTCCTTTCGATCCAGATATTACCTGTTCCATTTCCTTGCTGGTTATGGAGAAGGGAACTGATGGCGGCCAAAGTAATAATATAGACTAGAAAACATTTGGTTGTGAAGACATGGGCAGTCTCTAAAAGACCCTTTGAAAGATGGGGAACAATCTTGAGTTTTCATGCTTTTTCTTTTTTTCATCAGCCAACTTGTTTTCCTAGTTTTAATGCCGGAAAAAAAAAGTTGATTTGTGATGAAAAATCTTGGTGAATAAACTCCTGAACTCTAAATGGGAAAGCCACTCTGTTCAAATAATCATTCAATCCTGGAGCTTTCAGCGTTGTCTGTTATACAGATCATGTTTGAATTTATGATTTTCTAATTTGTAGCTGTTCTTACTACTATTTGTATCATTATAATCATTTTATTTCTATTTCATACAGTTCTACCTTAAGTATTTTGACTTTCCTAGACTGTTTGTTTGTTTTTTTCAGATGATAGATCTTTCAAAAAATTTTCTTGAATTGCTTCTTGTTACTATATTTTTAAAGCAGGATGAGAATTTATGGATTTTATCCAAAAAGTCACACAAAGACCCTAGATGAACTGTGGACTACTTCTGTTTACAGCATCCATATTGTAAAGTCATCACATTGACTTTAGATACTTCCTAATATGTTGAGGGGGAAAATATGGATTCATCAGTCTTTCATTATTTGATAACATCCTGAAAGAGGAGGCATTAAGATGTTCTTTGCTAAAGTTTCCATTGCAATCGTAAAGACCTTAAAATAAAATATGGATTCCAACTACATATTTTGACATATTCAAATCAGCAATTAAGATTTTTTTGCTTCCGTACTACCATGTCAAAAACAGTTATCAGTCTACAGTTACTTACTTTGAGGAAGAATTGATCAGAATTAAGCAAACAGATGACTATTTCTTATATGTATGCGATCCTTTTAAAAACTATGACATTGTCATATAATATGAAATAATAGTATAGCTGTATGTGAAAGTAACAATGACAACAGTGGTATAATTTCTGTGCTGGGAACTGGACTAAATGATTTACAAGCATGATCTCAGTTAATCCATGCCTCAGTTTTATGAGCGAGTATTTTTTCTATTCCCATTTATTGATGTAAAAATTGAGACCTATCAGAGGGTAAGTAATTTACAAAGGTCACCCAACTGGTAAAGGGCAGAATCAGTATTGGAACCACAACCTGTCTCACTATAGAATTTTTGGCTCTTTGGCACTACTCTTTAGCTAGGGAGCCTACTTTTGAAAAATATAGTCAGCCCTGGAACTTTTGACAACAGCAATACTCACGGTTTACACTTTTTGTGCATCGTGTTGCTTCATTGACATTGCTGCAGTGTCTAGCACTCAGGGAAGTAGATCTGACCCACAATATGCATCTGTGGGCACTGGAGCTCGGAGGGGTCATTCACTCTGTCATCCGACGATGCTCAGATCACAGGGCAGGAGCAGCCAGGCCCTGGCCCAGAGCCCCTGATTCTTGTGCCAGGATTTTTTTTTGCTCGGTGTCACATGCTTGAAAGAAATCACGGCAAAATTCCAGCACTAAGTAACATTAAAAGCACTAACAAACATTATCTAAAAGAATGGGTTCCTTTGTTATTGAAATGACCAGGAGGAATTAACCTCCTTTGTATACAGAAAATATTTGTAACAAATCTCAATCCCTTTAAAAGGAAAAAAAAAAAAAAAAAGCCTCTTACCAGCAAACAGAACCTAAGGAAGCCTTTTAGTCCAAAAAGCATCGGGCAGAGATAGAACCAAGCTTCAGCAGAGCCTTGGGGCTTTGTCTGAGACCCTCTGTGTAGGACTTCACTAGGATGGAGGCTCCAGTGATTTGAAATGAAATATCCAAAAAGAAGGTTCATGTTTTACACTGGGTGCTTATTGCACGTTCCAGAGCGTCAGTGTGGCTTAAACATCCATTATTTATTTGTGCTCTATGTAGGAAACAGGGGTAAAGGTCATACAATTTTTCAAAATTAAGTTGTTGGAGCTGTCTAAACCTTGAATCCCTGACCCCCCACCCCCTTACTTCTTCAATTGTGTGCTCACAAGTTTGTGCTCAGTGTCTACTTTGTTCCTGAGCACACTGGACGTGGTGTGGATTCAGGATGTAAGAGTCACTGAAGACACATTTTGTAGAGTGGAGAGTAATGGAGAATTCCAAGAATTGATAAATACAGACCTCTTTGATATGCTGCTTTGAATCAACTCGGGATCCTGGACATTACGTAATGACCTCACGTTCATTACTGAGAAAATTTGACCGATATTTTTCAACTGTTTTACTTGTTACAAGCAATCTGCTGTTGATCGTGAAATGAATATTTGCAGCAAAATGCAGATCTAAGTCTACTGGTACACCATCACTGGAACTGGGGTTTACCTATTAATTCGTATCAACAAAACACCAGATCATCAGAGATTTCACTTAAGAAAGAAGAACTTCAGACCTGTAATGATTTCTCTCCACTGGAATTCGCTGTCTCCCACAGCTAGCCTGTCTTCGGTACTTATTAAGTGCCACAGTGTGCTGATAGCATTTCAAGTGCTAGAATTGCATTCTCACAGTCACCCTGTTTTACAGATGAGGCAAGTGAGCCCCAGAGATGTTAAGTCATTTGTCCAAAGTCTTACATCTTGTAAGAGGAGGAATTGGATTCAGAGTCCAAGCTGCTCCCTGCTGTGCTGTGTTGCCTTTGTAAACACTTTGGGGAAGGCTGCGGCCGGGACATTGTTTAAACTCTGTACTGTTCTATCTATCTTTCCAACATTTCCCATATTGGATTTGGAACCTTTTCACTTCATTAGTAATGCTTTATATTTTAGGGGAAAGAAAGTCTCTAGTAATGGCTTTACCAAGAGTCTTATGCCTGGAATCGGGCTCCTTCAGGCCTTCTCCTGAATTAGGATGCTGTGGCCTTTTGAAGGAGGCAAATACAAGACTCACAGGGCAGGGGGGCAGGAAGCACTTTGCAGACACCAAGGCCTTTGTGCCTCCCAACCAGCTGGCCAGTGATGACGAGAGCTGTACTGATTCTCAGCTCTATTAAAAAAAAAATTTTCTTTTTAAGAAAATATTTTCTTTCTTTTTTTTTTTTAACGGAGGTACTGAGGGGTGAACCCAGGACCTCGTGCATGCTAAGCTTGTGCTCTACCACTGAGCTGCACCCTCCCCACCTCATTCCTAACTTTAAAAGACAGGCTTGGCGTGAACAGGAGTACCGTTTGGCACAACAGAAAAACGGTAGGATATCAAAAGTTGCACACAGCAATCGGCCTCAAAAGCAATGGTGGGAGGTTGGAATAAACTAATCGTGAGTTTATTTGGCTGCTGGGAAGACTCAAGTGCTGGCCACCAGCAGTCTAGGGCTCCCTGCAGCTAAGGATGCGCACCTGGTCACAGCTTTTCTGTCCCAGCCCTGCATTGGCCAGTGAATCTCGTGAGAGACTTCCTAGCCTGGGCATTTGGGCTGCAGGACCATCTAAACCTACCAGTTAGGAAATTCCTGCTGCTGTGGATGGGAACTCTGGCGGGTACCCTCTGCTCCATCCTGCTGCTTATGGCCCAGGTGTCCTCTGTGTTCCGTATGACCCTGCACTCTTCGCGTTTCAGGCACATCTCGTGCTTTGTAGCAGAACGGCCCTAATCTCTTGCACGTGTAAACTGAATGCCGCCCACATAGCTCACTCACTGCCCCTTAATGTAGCACAAAAGCTAAATCCCTTATTTCTGCTCCTTGAGTATCTTATAAATTAAGAGCTAAGGCCTTGGGATAATTCTTCCCCCCCCCCAAGAGAATATTTCTGGGACAACAGTAGTTTTCTAAGTCAAGTGCTGAAGGACTGGAGGACTCTCAGCTGCCCTCAGTCTCAGCTCCCCGCGGCTCTCAATACCTAGCAAAGAAATCAAAAAAGAAATTGTAAAAAGCAAGTCTGATTGCTAATAGATCAACGTTCAGCGACGTGCCCCAGGACTAATCTCTGCTTTGCAAAGCAGGTCACCGTAGCCGCAAAGCAAAGACCAGCATTTAGGACGTCACCTGCTTCTTTTGAAACATTTTGTTTTCTTTCTCCCTCCCTCTTCTTCCCTTTCCCTACCCACGCCCGCCCGGGCTACCCCGAGCCGGGCTGTAATGTAGCACGAAGTGTGAACAATCCCAGTATCTGATTTCTAATTATTTAGATAGAGATCCACTTAGAAGGTCAGACGGTAAAATTACTGTTTCGGAATAGTAAACACAAATCAGATTTAATTTTAATTCAGCTAACTTCATTGGCATATAATAACTCAAGCCCTTCCTGAATCATGCTCATTTAAACCTCCTGGGCACTTTCAATCATTTACTCATTTTCATCCAAATTCTTAGTATTTGTAAGGGGATTTCGCTGAAAGCGTTTCTATGTCCTTCTATGGGGTGTATCTGAAATGTTACAAATACATTTAAGCTGTGCTGAGCAACAGTAACTGAACAGGTTTTGATATTTCCTATTTTAAGAGAAGACAATGAGACCTCTCAGTATCTTCATTCTGCTGATGAGCATTGTGAATCTGCAGGGCCGATGTGGGTTGTAGGTTTCCCGTGCACATCGCACCTGGAAGGTCCCCTGACAGAGCACACGGGTACCTGGCGCTCCACGGAACTCACTCTGAGAAACGCTCTTCCATGTGGAAATCCTGTTCTATAAAAGCCATTTTGGAAATACGGCAAACGAGCATTATGATAATCTAATTTGTTGAAACTGTGGTCACTTTATTCCCCAAATTAAAAAGAAGCAGGAAAAAAAAGTTTTCATTCTATTATCTAGAGCCAGTATTGTTGATATTTTTATATATTTCCTTTTATACTTTTCAAACATACCTTTTTCATAGAGTTGAGCAGTGTTTATGCAATATTGCACCCTTCATTTATTCTTGATTTTTTTAGTACATGTGCTCTTTATGAGCAGATTTTTAGTGACAACGATATTTCAGCTGAAGAATTCATCATTTGCATAAATATTCTTTTATAGTTGGGCATGTAATTTTTCCAGCTTTTACTATTATACATTCTGTTGTAATGGATATCTTTAAATACAAGTGTTCGTAAACATTTTGGACAATTTCTGATCATTTTCTTAGAATCCGTTCTTAAAAAAGGAGTTATCAGAAAAAAGATATGAATGTCTTTTAAATTTCCTGAAAAGTATTACTAAGTTGTTTTCAATAAACTTGTTTCAGTTACTAGTTGCACTAGTAACTATTTTATCAGACTGAAAGCTAAATTAAATCTAATATATTTACATTCTTGATAATCTTAAACATTTTTTCTTGAATTTGTAGTTCTTCTGAGATTGATTTTTTAATATCTGTGGGTCATTTATATTTTCTCTTTGGGGAGTTCTATTTTGCTATTTTTGTTCATTTTTCTATCTGCCTTATCTTGTTACTTATGTTTGGAAATTCCTCCTATGTATATTTAATAATTATTCACTTTTAATTATTTAACAATTTAAATTATTTAATAATTTAATAATTACTCACTTTTAATTTTTAAAGTTTTTATGCTTTCATTTCTCACTTTCCACCTCACTTGTCGTTTGGGTCTAACGGTCATGGGAAAAACACTTCCAGTTATTTAAGAGTTTGGAAAATATTCCATCCACATCCCACTCGAGAAATAACGGCTCAAAGGTGCAATGTAGCTGATTCCTGGAACAGAAATCGAGAAGAATGAGGGATTCATAGTCTTCAAGGAACCACAGTTAGTGAATTAAAATCAGCTGAACAAATAAATTTGGCCTAAATAACCTTATGCCAAATAATCTCCTTTAATTTAAGTATAAAACACGCATTTATATATACCCTAAGAACAGGGGTGGCAGACGGGTAATAAGTACCTCACTGACTACACTGCTTAAAGGTGGCTTTTGTGGATGGGAGGGTAGGAGCACTAATTATATGCACCCTTATTTTTTTCTCTGATTAGCCACTACCAGCATTTACCCACAAATTGCATCCTTTCTAGTTTAGTATTAAGTTTGATTTTTTGAGTCTCAGTCTTTTCCACAGAATTCTGAAATGTTTTAGAATCACTTCTTGCCATCAGCAGTTGTGTAAATGAGCACAGTGATGTGGAATATTCACAACCCACTTTTTCATCACCTTGATCTCTTTAGCACCTTCCAGGTTGATAGCTACATCTGAGGTTAAGGAAGCGTGCCAGGGTATGCCTGCATTTTTATTTTGGCTAAATCGAGTCTCTAAATCATGGTTTTGCATTACACTTGTTCATCATCTTATCAATCTCTCTTGGCCCTGAAAATTCAACACTGTATCATAGTATAGTTGTAAAAAAGACATTTGGCAACAGTTAGAAATCTGGATATTAGTACGATGGTGTGCTAACTGCAAAAATCACTCAATTAAAGTGACAATCAAATAATTAGGTAAATTCCAAAGCAAGGGATAAGGTGTATCAGAGATAAACGAACAGAAAAAATCAGGAGTCAGACTTTAATATGACCAAGTCTAGGATCCAAGGGAAAATGAATGACAGGGAACAGAACAAGTTGCTGTGATCATGAACTATGTAAAGCTCAACAGAGTTCCAGCACTTCCTCATCTTTATATGGGAAGTAATAAATAAAATGGTGAAAACAAGATTTGTTAGAAGTGTAAGTAAAAACTGGTAGAAACAAAACTGTAGTATGGAATCACCA